GTGTGTGTGAGTGTATGTGTTGGTTTAGGGAGGTCTAGGATATATTTAGAGAAAGAGAGGGAGATTTTAGAGTCCTATGTATGCCACACCACATATCAGAAACAATTTACACCAGTGGGAAAGATATGTAATATGATTATGGTAAGTTTATGCCTCAGATCAGGCATAGATGAGGACGAGGGAGTGTGCCCCCTCTCCTCTGTCATACAGGATTCAGCTTCCAGCTCCTCCTCTGATGCATCGTTTGCATCAGTACTTGGGAACCCTTGTCGGCGCGCTGCTGCACTTCCCAACAGTGCGTCCGCAGACTCCTCTTCATCAGGTGAAGACAAGAGATGGGGAAAAATCGCTCCTGATTAATCATATAAAAAAAAAAATCTTATTCTAAAAAAAAAACCCTCTAAAGTCGGAATCAATGTATGATGGAGACACGTTACTGTTTTTTACTGTTTTTTTTTTCTGAGTGGATATATCTATTCTTATTAACTACTATCTTGGGCGGAACAAAGGCGGAGGTAAGGTGTATTCCCCGGTGCCAGCTGCCGCTTGTTGCGGCAATGCCAGGGGAAAGAAGGGGTCTGGATCAGACCTATTTTGACGCAGCTCCCGGTGAAGAATATTACGGCTTTGGTGAGGAGTCGTTCAGCGCCAGTGGAGACGAAAAGGAAGTCGCCGCTGAATTAACAGTGAGCGCAGAAAGTTCATTCAAAGTACAGCCGCGGCCAGAGGAGAATGAGACAAGTGGTCTGCAGAGAGACGGCGACCGTCAAAAACTTTCCCACCCTTCTCTGAGTCCTTCTGGTCCCAATAACGCAAGTGAAGAGAGAGATATTATATTAAACTTGACTGCGTTTGGTCGGAGAGGACGCAGGAGCGCAGAAACCTGGTCTGGATTCAGAAGCCAGGGTATAGAGGACACCTCGGTGTCAGACCAAGGGGACTTTCAGCTCACAAGTTCAACATTTGCACTGGCCGGGGACACAGCTCACAACCAGGCGATGGTGCACTGGTCCGGACAAAACAGCAGCGTAAGTAGGCTACTGCTTACCACATTTTACGCACGGATGTCTTTTAGCGCAATGGGGTCAGCGCCCACGAACACATCTGTAAAATACATGCCTTCATATGAAGCTTTTATTCTTGCGAAATTTACGTGATAAGAATTAAAACTAAGAATGCTGAAAGAAAGCCGATTGGGAGCTATCATTTAAGGGAGTCTGCGCCAACCTCCCGTCTCTCACAGGAAGAAAACTTATTAATGCTGTGGTTGAATTCTCCTTTTCAAGCAGCAGAAATGATGAACACGTACAGACTAAAGAATATGGTAATATTTAGATGGTCCGATTTACAAAAAAGAGGAAGAACGTTTCTATTGAGAATTTATGGAATTTTTTTCCACTTTTACAATCGTTTTCTGTTTTCCTTCTTTTTAGTTTGTTAATTTGATCAAAAAGAAGAGAGTAAATATATTTTATGATGTGTGAAAAGAAAATGCAAAAAACTGTCTGTTTTTCTTTGGTTTGGAGCTTTTACTCCAAACCAAACTTCTGCCAAAAAAAAAAAAAAAAAAAGATAAGAAAAAGAAAGAAAGATAGCCCTGAACAAACTTTAAATTTACAGCACTGAAAAAAAAAATTATTGCAACCGCTTTTGGCATTTACTTAAGCATGTTTAGTTACTTTAACGCAATCGTTTTATGTTTAAACGATTAGTTACTTGTGTTAAAGTAACTAAATATGATTAAGTAAATGCCAAAAACGGTTGCATTATATTTTTCAGTGCATATTATGAAACATTGCGATTTGGCTACTAATTTTTCCCCATTAGATCTTTCTTTTTTTTCCCTCCTCAGCGTCATGATAACTCCATCACGTTCTGTGAGGTTTATGAGCCTGATCAAATAATCTATAAAAGGTGTTGACATTTACAACAATGAGCATTCACCCAGTTGCAAATAGGATTAGTGACTAAATAATGCATGCAAACAATCCTGTGTAGCTGTGAAGCTTTCAGCAATCAAAATTATAACCACTATCATGGTGTTATATATGTGCAATCTCAAAATAATAATAATAATAATAAAGAATTTTAGATTGTGGTAAATAAAATCAAAATACATAAAAGTGAGCAATGGATGTTTTTCCATGAATTTTTCCCCGTTGCAAACCACTTCTTCTGCTCTCCATACAGCTGATACTCCAACTCAATGTCCCACACAAAAACATCCAAACCTATTGTCTAAAATAAAATAAAAATAAAATGAAATGCCGGATAAAACATTGATTTCATAAACAATTTAGCCTAGGACTGAACATTTTTTTGTAATATTTTTTTGTAGATGACCAAATACTGTTTAGATGAATTCAAAGTAAATAAAGAAAAATGAAATAGCCATTTGGTGCTTATATTTATCAATATTTCTATTGTATCAGTCACGATTTTTGACAGTATCCACTCTGTTTGCTGAAAGTAAAAATCCCAACAATATCAGGATAAGAAATAAGCAACAAGATAATTTCTTCAGATGTAAAAAAGTAATGATGCACACAATTTTCTGATCTTTAACAAGGATGGTATACAACACACTGTTTTCTATTTTGCTCTGCAAATTTTTTCCCAGGTGTTTGTCTCACCCACCAGGTTGTGACATCTTGTGTGGTGTGTCATTTCGCTCACAGTCACACAAAGCAAACATTTCAAGTGAAACCACAAGTTGGAAACATATAAATATCTTGCTGCAAATGTTCACAGAGGTTGCGTACTTCCACTTTTCACTATATGCTCCTGTGGTCTTAAAGCACAATCAACCCTCAGAGGAGCAGATGAGTCAGAGTGGAAGCACTTAAAACAACAGGGGATATTCCACGTCACACAGTCTGTCTCCATTTGGAGTCTCATGTACGTGCAAGCAAGGAATATCAAAATCTGTTTGGGAAAATAACAAAGACATCTCCTGTTTAGCTAAAATTCAGCTTACCAGAAACATGATTTTTACTCAAGAGGTTCTATTTGAATTCATTTTAAACCATCAACAGAACGGAGATTGCTATGAGACCAGTTAGTGTCTCATTGTCTGGCCTATTTAGGATGAAGGAATGGCCTCAGTTGAGTGCCTTCATATCTGATACTCCTTTGGGGCTTATATTTAATTTCTGTTAAGCAAATTTAATTTCAAAACGACTGCCAGGAAACAAACATTAAGATTAGTATCTGAGGAAACGGGGATATAAATTTTTGCCTTGTTTGACCTTAAGAAAAGTCACATCGAAATGGATCTTACTAACTTTGAATATGAAAAAGTGTGGGTCTGTAAATTTTTCAGTATAAATACAAAGGTGTGTGTGAGGTTTAAATATGATATTTATTATAAAAAAGTTGAGTGGAAAGGAAAAGCTGTGGTTAAAACATCCCAACCTTGAAGGGATTATAAAGCAAAGAAAAGTCAAGTTTTTCTGGATATTGTCAAGGTAAGATTGTGACTTGAGTCAGAGCTTAACAGCCACAAAAGAGAATAAGATACAGAAAAGTTATATAGTAAACTGAAGAAAAAAAAAGAAAATATATCTCGAAAAAGTATTGCATCAGTTCTGGTGAAAAGCCATTCCTGACCAAGACACAATTTTTAAAGCATTTTACCTGGATTATGTAGAAAAGGACAGGTCTGTTGGTCATTAGATAGAAGTCCTCTTTTTAGATAACTCCTTTTGATGCAGAGGATCAGTGGCTCTAGCATTGTCTGCAAGCTTAATCTTCACAGTATTTTCAAGATCAGAAACACAAGAATCAATCTTGTATCACTTGTCTTTAAATCCTTTGAGTCCGAACAAAAACGGGTCAGCCAATGACATTGCAGTATTACTGTTTATGACCGGATATATAGCTGAGATGAAAGCAAGACATGCCGAGCCCACAGTCAAACCAAAATAAACATGGCGGCAGAGGAGGACATACGCTTTGCTGCTGTTATCACAATTTTGTCAGAATCTAAGATGTCATCTTTGAAAGAGGAACAGCAGGAGCCCATAAGTGCCATAGTGTCTTCTGCTATTTCATTTGTTATCTTGACTGGCAAAAAATAAACTTTGGTAGGTGGGCACTTGGTGTCACTTCACCCGATCAAATCAAAAAGTTTTGCTGAATGTCCCTTTTTCCCTGGACAGGTTTGATGGGAGCAGTCCCAGATTAATAATGTGTAGAGCTAAACCTGAATGCTAGACATGATCAGTTTAGCTTGTCAGGGTATGATGCTTCCACTCTAAGCTGAGTTAATTCCTTGTCCTATCATGGGAAAACCAGTGACTTAAGAACTACACTTTTACTGTTGAGTATGCGCAACATGCTGAGATACTTTAGAAAATTTATGTAAAGCATAGGCTGATCCCAGACCTGGAGGGAACAGTCCACCTTTTATTTTTTTTAGTTAAGAACTATGGTTGCATAAGCTGAGACAAATCCTCTGGAAAATATTGATATTAATCATATTAATGATAAACTTTATTTATATTTTGTTAAATCAACAAAAGAGCTTGGTGGTTTCTTGTTTCTGCAGCAGTTCAGTAACCAACCATCTAGTAGTTAAATAACAAACCTTAACCTTCACACCAAGACTTTAAAATTGCATTCAGGAGTATTTTTTTTTTAACCTTTTTTTTACTAACCTTTTTTTTACTTTTACCAGCAAATGGGACCATTTTTGAACCTTTGAAAACTTTAAACTCGAGAAAACAAGTCATACAGGCACACATTTATTTCTAATAAAGTAGGTTGAAAATAAAAACAAGACAGATTTGTTCAAGGTCTTGGAGAGCTGGTGCCTTACCCCAGCTCATACTGGGCAAAACCAAGGACGATTTGATTGTCTCACCGGGCAAACAGAATGACACACATTTACAGAGACATTCCATTTAGGCTTTCTGATTCTCCTTGTTAGTCTCAGAAACTACAGAATAATGATGGTAAAAAAAAAAAACTAGAACAGCTGAATAAAAAAAAAAACAGAAGAAAGAATAATTCTATATTCTATGACCACATGCAACTTTAAAATTATTCCAAAATATGTATTCCGAGCTTCAGGAAAATCAAGCCTTTTTCTTCCGGAATTAGACCACATTACTTCAACTGAACCATTTGATATTCACAGATTGTTCAAAATAAAATTCAAACTTCAACTTCAAACGTCACAAACCTTGGATTGTTAGAACAAAAGTGAAAATGCTCCACTGCACTCTAAAGACCTTTGGAAATGAAATCCATTACATTTGCTCCTTTATAGAATGATGTGTCCTTGGACAATGATGAAAGATTAAACGATATCTTTGAAGAGCAGAAGTTGATTGAAATGATGCATCTGCCATACATGTGCCCCACAGGAAAGCAACTCAAGGCCACGGCAGCATGAATAGTACACAAGAAGAATATTTTTATTTAGCATAAACAATCCTAAGCAATCGTCCAAACTTTTGCATTTCATGTCAGATCATTAACACATGATGAATTTCTTTAAATTGATAAAGTCCAAAGGCTGAAACCTTGGTATTGAAATCTAATGGACAATTGCCTGAATAACCGCTCTTGCTACTCAAAGACATGACACGTATTTATGTTTTTCAAGGTTTTTCCATTGGATTTAAAAGCTGAAAAGGCTTTAGAATTGTGATGATAATTTTACAGGAGAGATGAAAAACCCAAGCATAAATCAACAAAGCTTGAGCAATAAATGCAAATGGTAATCTTGAAATGGTGAGGAAGCAAACTATCACAGCAAGGTAACAACATGTCAAGATTCAGATGTTGCATTCTACTAGTTTACATAAACTAAATATTTGACAAATTTTAATTTCACATTAATTATTTTGCTGCGATGGACCAGCGGCCTGTTCAGGGTGTACCCCACCTCTCGCCTGTAGACCGCTGAAGAGGCTCCAGCACCCCTTGCGACCCCGCTTGGGTTAAGTGTGATGGAAAAGGGGTAAATATTTTCCTAAGAGGTGATTACATTAATACAAAGACAGCACTACGAGGTTACTAC